TTCAGGCTGACGTAGAACTAACTGGGCTGAAGAAGATAACGGAAAAAACACAGATTTTAAGATGGGGTTTATGTGAACATTTTCCAAATTTTTTGGACAATATGGTCTGACAAAAAAACATTTAAATACATGTTTTAGCCAGAATGATTTGACAGTTAAATATGGCTTCCCTATGACTTGAACTGCAGAGTTAATTCTGTTGTTTTGTACTTGTAAGAGTGTTATGGCAATAAAAACNTGCAGAGTTAATTCTGTTGTTTTGTACTTGTAAGAGTGTTATGGCAATAAAAACGGGGAAAAATCTTTTTAGAAAGTACTAAGATGTTGCTCAATGTTTACTGCAAACGGATACGGTTTTTCATCCAGATGGTGGAAAACTTTATCCAAACTCTGCTGCTTCTCATAGTTACTGCAGACCAAGTCATCCTGAAAACAAGAACTAGATGAATGGTCACTGATGGGGAAGGACATGTTCATTTTATGTTTTGAAGAAGCATTCCACCATGGACAAAAAGAAAAAACATTTAATCCCAAACATAGAATGGTGTGAGAACTTTCCAGAATCTGGTCCTCATCCTATAACAGATTTAATCTAGAAGATGTAGGACCTGATCTCAAACTGAGTTTCATTGTGTTCAGGATTCCTGAACTAAATTAAATCTAAGGTCCAGATATTTCTCTATTCAAGGTTTCTGCGGTTGGATTAAATTTTCTACATCTATTTTTGGAAGATTCTGTTTAGAGAAGAAAAAAAGATCCAGATCGATTTAGATTCTGACCCAGAATCGGTTGATATTCCTTAGAAACGGCCAAAATGCTAAAGCTAAGGATCAAATGCCAACTTCGGTAAAATTTAAACCATGAACCGGCTCAGGAGCGGATCCACAGCAAACGATGCGCAGGAGTGGGTCCTTTTCCACGCAGGACCAACCCCGCTCTGCCGCAGGAACCCGCCGAGCATCTCAACATGTGTGTTAGCTGCTAACGCTAGCCGCTGACCGGAACCAGAGCCGCTCTGGTGACTACAGCCGCTAAAACTGGATTAAAAGATCATCTTTAGGCGACAACTGCTCGGAACTTTTAACACTTAACTAAAAGTATTGGTCTTAGTTTCGTTTTTGGTTCTGGACGCTGAATCGGAAGAAAAAAGGAGGCCGAAGGTGTGAGTGAGCCGCGCTAACAGGCTAACACCGGGCATGGGCAGGGTCGGCGTCCGGTTCAGCCTCCCGCAGGAGCAGCTTCGCCCGCAGAGGGACCTGAACGCCCCCAGTAGGGTCTCCCATTCAGCCTCAACTGGGGCGGAGGATCCCGGTTCGTTTGGATCAGACTGAAACTGAGCTGAAACGCGGCCGGAGTGCGGAGTCACCCGCCGCGGAAGGCCTCAGTTAGCTTTAGCATCAGGAGCTAACAGCTCCATCCGCCCTAACAGAAACCTTCTCCTGGTCCTCAAGCACTAACCCGTCAGGCCCGAACCTAGAGCTCCAGGTCCGGCTGGAGTGAGCGGTGTTCCCTCCCCGGTACTCACCCGGAGAGACGGTTTTTTCCAGGATAGTTATGAGCTCCATCCTGTGGCCCGGCTGCTGCTGCTGCTGCCGCCGCTCTTCGCTTGGTCGGTTGGATAACAGTGCGTGATGTGGTTCCCCTTAGCCCGGTCTGAGCAGCCACAGGGCGGGTCCGGACAGCTTCGGTTGGATACTTTTGGGATTTACTCCGACGGTGCAGGAAATGTTCACGGCCGCAGCTCGCAGAAACGCCGCCCGTTCGCGAGGGAAAGGAGCGCGCGGTTCTCTCACGCGGAGGGATATCACGCACTGACGCACGTACGGCGTCGCCGTGCGACGCTTTAATCGCGGAAACATTGGGCGAAATGGGATCATTATCGCCACCTGCTGCTGCGGAGGAACCAGCGACCGTCTAGACCAGCCTGATCAGTGAGACCAGGACCTGCTGGTTCTCCAGCATGAATTACAATTTAACAGTATATTTAATAAATTAACAGAACCACCCCCACACACACACACACTCACACACACTTTTTTTTTTTTACCTTACCCCCACTTTAGGAAATCTAGATCTAGAACAAGTAGAACTCCTCTGGAAGTATCTGCTCTGTTGTAGAACAGAACTCAAAGTTTTACCGAATTTTGCACCATATTTATTTATTTTGCACCAGTCTGGATCTTTCCATATTAATGCATTTTTCACCGTTATTTTTAAACTGGTTTCATTTTCTCCTATCCTGTTTACACTCTGATCACTGCTGCACTTTATAAATAGAAATGTTAATTTCACTGTCAAAAGATGAATGCAACAAAAGTTTGCTTTCTACACACTGTTTTTAGGGAGACCTTGGGTTCCGCCATCTTGGTACTCCCCACTCCCACAGAGACATGCAGTAAAAATGCCTCCCTGTGTAGCATTGGCTGCTAAAACCAGCAGTTTTCTGTCTGCAGGAAGACGTTCCACTGGTAATTTCCCAGTCAGTGGATGAACTAAGCAATAAATCCATCTATAACCGATGGATCCTATAGTTTAGTCTGGAGACTGACATTAGTCTGGCTATTTGACTGACTGGAAGACGGTCAGTCTGTGTTAGAACTTGGGACACTGAGTGAATCAGGTCTTCATGGTAGAATATCTGCTAGTAAACCATGGCTAAGGACCGGCAACAAGCAGAAGATACTTGATTGGGCTAAAGAACACCAGGAACGGACATTAGACCAGAGGAAATCTGGCTTTGGTCTAAAGGGTCCAAATTTGAGATCCTTGGTTCCAACCATTGTGTCTGCGTGCGATGCAGAAAAGGTGAACGGATCGATTCTACATGCCTGGTTCCATGTGAAGCATGGAGGATGAGGTGTGATGGTGTGGAGGTGCTTTGCTGTTGGGGATTTATTTATAATTGAAGGCGTACTGAACCAGCATGGCTGCCAAAGCATCTTGCAGAGGCATGCTATTCCATCCGGTTTGCATTTACTTTTCAACAATGACCCCTAACACACCTCCAGGCTGTGGAAGGGCTATTTGACCGAGGAGGAGCGTGATAGGCTGCTGCGCCAGATGACCTGGCCTCAACAATCACTGGACCTGAACCCAATGGAGATGGTTTGGAGTCAGATGGACCCCAGAGTGAAGGCTAAAGGGCCAACAGGGTCACCATGGGGAGCAGAGCGGCTGAAGGCTCGGCTCCCCAGCTCTGGAACTCACTCTCTCCCCTTATTCAAAGCCAGACTCAAAACCCATCTGTTCCAGCTCGCTTATCTGTGAATACACTGCTCTTTTCCCTATCCATAATTGTTTTTATGTTCCTGTATCTGTATTGTTGTATTTTCATCTTTCTTTTCATTTATTTTTCAGTATTTTCTGTAAAGTGACCTTGAGTGTCCAGAAAGGTGCTGTTAAATAAAATTTATTATTACATATTTTCAGCTGTTTCACACAGTTTTGTTAAGTATATAATTCCACGTGTTCATTCATAGTTTTTATGCCTTCAGGGTGAATCTACAATTTTCAGTCATGAAAATAA